AAACGTCGCTCGATCATAGAGTATTTTCTTTGCCTCACTTAGGTTCGACGTTGAAGTGTGTGCATTGATGTCAAAACACTCTGTAAAGGAAACGTGAACCCGCCGCTCTACATTACCAATTCACGCAGTTGTGTGATTTAATATACTTGTGTATCGAGTGCTTAAAAAGAGCATGCAAAACAACACTCTCTTTTGATCATATGTATATGTATGATAAACTATCTAAGGGCATACTTCTATATATAGCCATTAAGGGCAGTACACACTACAATGCAATGACCAATATATGAGAGTATCATTACATGCGTTGAGAATAAGCCTAATGAGGAGTGTATTATTAGCTTCTTGATTTTAATATGCTGAGGATAAGCCTATGTTGATCTAAATCATAAATGTCAAGTTGAGCTTTTCGTTGAGAGGGATCGCTAGCTTCCTGTATAACAATATGCTACCTCTGTCCACTCTCCTCTTTGACCTTTGAAATCAAAAAATATGAAACTTTGACTAATAAATTATTTTTTGAACAAAACAATTGATTGATAAGAAAGTAATATAAAAATGTGAGAAAAGGGTCAAATAGGCCCTCGAACTTACATAAAAAGGTTAAAGTCGACCGGGAAGGCCCGCTGATAGGCAAGTTCGGACGGGGCTTCCCGTCAGAACTACCTGAGGTAATTATTCCTCTATGCGGAGTCTCATTTAATCATCAATAATATTCCTTTGATAACTATTGTTAAAAAGCACATAGTAAAAATTATATATATGTAGGGAGGTTCAAATACAAAGTAGTCCTTATATGAAAAATGAGAAGTAATTGTAACCAATAAAATGAATAAATGAGTGGGTTACATCAATTTTAAAGTGAAAAACGTGGTGGCGAAAGTGTAATATTAGAATCTTTTATGAAACATAAAGTGATAAAGAGTGCTGGATCGGCATTGAGTACAAAGAACCGGGGCAGAACGAAGTCGAAGTCCAAGTCAAATCGGGATAGATCAAGATCCAAATCCAAGTCAAACAACAAAGGCAAGAAGGACAGAAGTCAGATAAAGTGCTGGAATTGTGAGGAGTACAGACACTTCAAGAGCCAGTGCAAGGAGCAGATCAAGGATCAGAAGGAGAAGACACCCGCCAATGCAGCGGCAGAATCATCTGGCGATGATCTCCTGATCCTGAGCAGTCCGTTGGAGTCATGGATTCTGGATTATGGATTTTGGAGATTCGTTCCATTCGTGTGGTAATGTTGAAGTGATGGAACAATATACTCCCGGCAATTTTGGAGAGGTGTATCTTGCTGATGATGAGCCTCTTAAAATTGTCGGAAAGGGTACATTCCACGTGAAGACTCCGAACGGTTGCATGCTGAAACTGAATGGTGTCCGACACATTCCTGGTTTGAGGAGAAATATACTTTCAGTTAGGGAGATGGACGAGGAAGGCTATATAGTTACATTCGACAGCGGAAACTGGAAGATCACCAAAGGAGCCTTGTTGATTACTAAAGGGAAGAAGGAGGGTACGTTGTACATGACAACGAACTCAAAGGATTGCATTGATGTTGCTGCCACTGCAACAAACGATGTGAATTTGTGGCACTATATCGGCTTGGTCACAAGAGCGAAAAGGGGATGAAGGAGTTGTGCTCGAAGAGCAAACTGTCCGACCTGAAGACCGTTGAGGTTGGCTTATGCGAGGACTGCATATTCGGGAAACAAAAACGTGTCAGTTTCTCAAAGGGGAGAAGATCTATTAAACCGGAGAAGCTGGAATTAGTTCACACCGACCTTTGGGGACCTGCAGAAGTTACATCCTTAGGAGGATCCTTGGTACTTGAAGTTGAAGGTTGGCGCTACCATGCTAACAAGAGAGGATTTGAAGAAGACAATCTCAAGGTGGGTGATTGTAAGGTGTTAGAGACTGTATAATCTAGGGGTGGGTTCGGTTCTTGCGGTTCGGTTTTGACCTAAAACCAAATGTAGAATCAAAGTAAATAGTTCGGTTCGGTTTCGGTTCGGTTTTACACTCCAAAACTTGGAACCACGGTTTGATTGGTTCGGTTTGTTTCGGTTCGGTTTCGGTTTTTTCGGTTTTTTTTTACCAAAATTTTTTCACTTAATCAATTTAAAATTGATATAATACTTAGAGAGATCAAACATATTACATAAAGAATTCAAGCACAATACAACGACAAATAAAATTAAAATGAGAAGAGATAAATATGTCTTGAATTATATGAGTATGCGAGATAGATAAAACTGTATATATTATTGATTTAATTTGTTTGTGAGTAGTTTGAAATTTTTTCATGAATATATATGTTCTATGTGATATAGTTGAGATTAATATTTATTGTTTTATCAATATAAAATCTTTAAGACTCTAAGTTATCTAAAAATAAAAATTAATTACTACCAATAACTAGTAAACACATATAACTATTATTACAGACAATAAATGTGTAAATGAATTTATAAACTAAATTAAATTAAACATAACACAAACATTATTTCTCTAACACAAGAAAACCAAATACTATTGATGATATTATGATTAATTACAATTAATGCTTAACAATTAACATATAAATTTCATATTTTAAATAGTTCGGTTTGTTCGGTTCGGTTCGGTTTTGAAGGGTAAAAACCAAAACTGAACCGAACAACTTCGGTTCGGTTCGGTTTTTTACATTATTCAGTTTCGGTTTCTTAGCGGTTCGGTTTTATTTGGTTGCAGTTCGGTTTAATTTGATTCGGTTTTCGGTTTTCGGTTTTTCGGACTCAGCCCTAGTATAATCAAAGCTTTTCTTAATTTATTTTTGGAAATAAGTTTCTTAATTTATTTTTAGAAACACATCCTACTTGCCTTGGGGTTAACTTTTACTTCTCTATAAATACAGACTTTCTCCCTTGTACATGTATGGATCCGAAAATAGCAATAATATTCCTGACCTGGTAGCGCCCCAGACGTAGTCATTCGTAGCGAACTGGATTACCAAATTTTCGTGTGTTTTTCTTATTATTCATCACGTGCGTCAATTTAATTAATAACACCCAATTCTCTAGTGCATGAGTTTGTCCACCCCGTTGGTTAAGTTCCCGACTTTAATCTTCAATTCGAATATCAAGCTCATTGTATCACGAGGGAGTTTTCTAATATAAGCTTCAATTCAACTATGATTCTCTTCGATTTGGGGCTTTATGCTAACTACATTTTTATGAGGGTTTTCATTTTCCCTCTATTATTAGCCTTTACACTAATAATAAAAAAACACTTAGTTGAAGAATGAAGAGTGACCCAATAACCTAATGTGGTTGTCGAAGACCATGGCAAACACCGATAGTCCGACAATATCTTTGAAGTTTTGATGGTTATCGAAGCTAAGATAATGGCTACTGGAGTTATAGCAATGTAGGTCACTGGAGACCTTATAATAGCGGACACCAGAGTATCGGAGGCGGAGGTTGCTACATCTTTAGCTTCCACCGGCTTAGCGTTGAAAAATTGAGCTGAAGTCTAGTACTCGATTCAGAGATTATTATTCGGAGCAGGGCGGAGCTACTGAGGGGTCAGGGTGGTCAGCCGACCCCGCTGAAAAATTAAGAGTGTAGAGCTCTGAAATATCTTTGATTTAATATATTATCTCTCTCGTAACTCATTATGAGAAAAAAGTTATGACTTCTGCAAAATCAGCACTATTTAAGTTTGAAATTAGTAAAATTGTGATGAGTAGTATTAATTATATTCACAAAATAGCGTGTAATTCACTCGTTACTTACGTGACATGACTTAGGGACAGAGCAAAGACAACATATCTTACTGCTACGAGTGCCTACTCAATAAATGATTCTTTTCCAAGTAAGAAATTTTGATACTAAACCGAGTAAGATCGAAGAGAACCATAGTGTACTAGGGTAAGACAATGGGTCTCATCCAAGGTACTCAACTGAGCCCGTATAAAACTAGTTTATAATATATGTGACATATACGAAGTATATTAACTACATATACTATATTAGTTTCATTTAAACTATCATTTATCTAAGCTACATTGAATTCGAGTATTGTCTAAAAGAAGCTACCGTTTTGATTCAATGTAAATTTGATTTCGATCCCGTTGAGTCATTTTTCTGACTCCACCCCTTATTCAGAGTGATATAGAAGTGGTCGAAACTTAAATGCAATTGAATAAAGCATGTTTGACTACACAAGTGAAACATCTTACAAATGTAAGATTACAATAGAAATACATGTTTTAGATAAATTTTAATCATGAGAGGGTAAAATTGACATAAAGTTGTACGTGATAAATCGACACAATTAAATCTAGCTTTAATGCAAACAATTGTCATTAATTATCTCAATTTATCAAAATGTAAATGATTTTTTCAATCTAAGAAGTTGTATTATTCGCTTAATCTGAATTTTTAAGATCCAACTTGGTGTGAATTTTTCTAATATAACATTATAACCTGAATTTGTCCTATCTGAATATTTCCAATGTAATTTGATTTTATTTGATTTCTCAGATGTGATTTGATGTAACTCTTTTGGATCTAAAATTTTCTAATAATCACTAATTTATTAATCTCGCTTCAACAATTTCCACTAAAAAAGTAAAAAACTCCTAAATTTTAACTCAAAGTATACTCCGTCCCGCTAAGATTGTTCCATTTTACCTTTCGGAAAGTCCACTAAGATTGTCTCATACCAAATTTAGTAAAGTTTGTATAACTCTAAATTATTCTTACTTTATTATTACCTTTTTAATTCAATATCAATCACATAAACTCACTTTTCTTAATAATCGTGTCACCTTTTTTCGTTTCAATATTAGTGGGAAGGAGGTACTAGTAATAAAATCTAAATTTAAAGGACCTTTATACAAAATACGTAGTATGAGTCATTACTCATTATTACTCGGTCTCTTCAGATACACTCTTCCCTTATTTTTCCTTCTTGCCTGATACGGTGATACCCCCACCCCACCCCACCCCACCCCCCCCCACCCCGACAGACACACACTCCCATCTCTGGCAGCAGTGAAGTTCTGCCACATAGCTTCACGGAGTATATGCTTGTCTGCTAATCGAATTGAGCCGTCTTCACCGTTTCAGAGTTCATCGGAGTTTTGTCAAGTCTGCTTGTTCTATATAGCTCAGTGAAAGATACCATGAAAGACGGTTTGTCCCCCTATTCTCTCGCCTAGCAAGAATTGATTCGTCTTTTCCCATTTCTCAAGAGAAGCTCAAATCTTCATACTTGAGCTCTCTTCTGCTGATGGAAATATGTAAGTTTACCATTTCCCTTATTTGTTCTGTTTGCTGTATGCTAGCACCACTGATTTTTTGGCCTTCTTAAAAAAGGATCTCATTTTTGCTTGCGAGATCTGATAGAATTATGGTTTTGAAGCTCATTTTTTCTTCTATTCTGTTTGTTGTGAATTTCACTTGTTATCAAGATTTCAGATATGGGTTCAAATTCTACTGTTAGTTAATGATACAATTAGCTAGTTTTCTTCTTTTATCAACAGTGTAGTTTTCAATAGTCAACATTAGGGTTCGGTCTGTTTCACATCTTAAGCTGAGCAGGCTTTACTAGTTTCGAGCTATGCTTCATCATTATTTGCAGATCTAGATGCTGTAAAAAATTAATGTACTTGAATTAAAGAGCAATGCAAAATGACTATATTTTAGCAATGTGATTGAGCTATAATTCTATTAATGACATTCAAGTACTTGTAGATTGTACTCTGTATTAAATAGCGCTTAATGTTTCAATAATGTCATTTCGATACATAAAAGCATGCTACATTTTAGTCAAAAGTATTGGGAACATACCTGAATAATTGAGTATCTTATACTCCATATTTATTATATCAGGAAATATGTCTTATTCAATAGCAACTTCCTTTATAAGAATTCTACTCTATAATTTTACACACCTTAGGATTGTATCTATATGTGCAACCTCCTTCAAGCCTTGTACAATTCATAATTCAATACACAACACATTATTGTCAGATTCTCAACAAAAAGTGTTAATGGTAAAGGAAAGCTGCCAAAGTATTACACTAGTAAGCCTTACATGCGTTGGGAGTTGTTTTTTCCTTTGATGTTGGAATGCTATAAGATGATGAAAACATAAATTATTCTTCATATTTAAGTGGTTAACTAAAAGAAACTTGTTAAATAAGAGAAATATCTGAATCATTTGGATTACCTATGGTATTCCAATGGTGTTTCTCTTTCTTTCTTATAAGGTAATTGCACTTTTAGATTTTAATGCACACTAGTACTGGTTTAGTAATTACCCCATCATTTTTGTAAAGGTTTACAAGAATTCAAGTTGGCCTTGACCTTCCTTGAGTTGGACTTCCTTCATTGAAATCGCAATGAAACTAAAGCTAAAGAAAGGGCGGAAATCAATTTTGCCACTGCATTTCAAAGGCAAAGGGGCAAGCAACTTCTGCTTCCTTCCAATTCCAAAAGCAAAACAGACAGATAGTTATGGCCCTGGTGACACCCCCGTTTATCTTAATGTGTACGACTTGACACCTATGAATGGTTATGTCTACTGGGCAGGCTTTGGCATCTTTCATTCTGGAGTGGAAGGTAAAGTGACAATTATATAGCTTCGTAGAGTCTGTTTGCAACTCGTAAAATGCTAGCCAAAGAAATTTAGAGTGAAAATAAAAGAGATATTTGGAAGGGAAATGTAAGTAGTAATTAAAGATTTTTCAAACTCAAACTATTTTTTATATTTCTTCAAGCTCATTTCATTTTATCTATTTCTTTTATATCATCATCATCATTACCCCAGTGCCGCAAAGGTTCCCACCTTCAGTGAGGTAAGGGGGGGTCGGATGTACGCAGTCTTACCCCTGTACTAAAGCAAAGCACCGAGAGACTGTTTCCTTATGACATATATTTCTTTTATATAAAGATAAAAATCTAAGCGTATGTAAACAATTCAAGAACATTTACCATATTTCGTTTTCCTTTATATTTTCCAATTCAAAGCCAAACACAAGTCAGCTTTGTTATCATTCCCCCCCTATTCCCTTGCATTTTCTGGGATTCAAACATGCTCTTATGCTTCATTAATTTTGTTTCCTTTTTCTACAACGGTTTGCACTTTCAGTGCATGGTGTAGAGTATGCATATGGAGCTCATGACTATCCAACTAGTGGAGTGTTTGAAGTTGAACCACAACAATGTCCAGGCTTCAAGTTTAGGAAATCTATATTCATTGGGACTACAAAGTTGAATCATACCCAAGTGAGGGAGTTTATAGAGCGTCAATCCGCCAGCTATAACGGCGACACTTATCACCTTATTGTGAAAAACTGCAACCATTTCTGCAATGACATATGTTACAAGCTTACCGGAAAGAAAATCCCAAACTGGGTCAATCGACTTGCGAAGCTAGGTATACCATATTACCATTTCCCATTCAGTCAATATATGTTCCGATTAAAGGTTTTATTTTTTTGAACTGCTTGGTAAGGTCAACCTTATAGAGGTCTGGTCAAGGGTCTTATACGTGGTTTGTATGTTGATGTTTTGCCGCATGAGGGGCTTATGAACTTTTGACGTGGTCATTTTGTTTAAAATGATTTTACTAAATACTTTTCCTTCAAACAATTAATTTTGTTAGCCATTTCAGCAAAATCACCCTAACCTAAAAGACCCTTAGCGAAAAGAAAAGTGTTTGGTAATTTCCATATCAATCACACAAGTCAAACCTATTTGTTTTGCTGATAAAAGGAATAAGATGAACTGCTGATCTTTGGCTACCAAACAGAGCCTTTGAGATGCCTTCCCTGATTGGAGTTTTTTCTTTGGTTCGCTTAGGTTCGACGTTCAACTTTGTGTTACCTGAAGCACTAAGGATTGCTGCTGTGCAACATGACCCTAATAGCCAAGAATGCAAGAGTGAGAAGAGAAGGTTAAGAAGTGCATTTAGTTGTCTTTCGTCAATTTCAACTAGGCAAAGACATCTCTCAACATCTTCTCTATTCCTACAGTCTCCCTTAAGAGGCTGCATACCTTCTTCATGGGAACTGAGACGGTCAACCAACCGCTCTCTAAAGGAAAGGTGAACAACATAAGTATACCAATTCAGAAGGTTTTTTATGTCTGTATTTTCATGTAGTTGTGTGGTATAATTTGGTGATATATTAAATGTTTCATTGCTTAAAAAAAGTAATAAATAACCGACTTCTTTCTTACAATGGGAATGCAATAACAACTAGCTCTTGTGTATGATAAAACAATCATTAGGTTTCTCCTCAGAAAAAGCGATATTATTCTTCTTTGTGATGATCGTTAACAGTGCACATGCTTCTATAATCATTAAGGGCACTAAGATATTCTCGCTTTTCTGCTAATCCACTATCCGAGAGTATCAGACTTCCCTGCATTGAGAATAAGCCTAATGAGGAGTATATTCTTGGTTTTATTATGTTGAGATGTAAATCATGTAATAGTATAAATAGTAAGTGTCTGGTCCAGCTATCAGTTTTAGCTTTTTAGTTGAGGTGGATCACTTTATGTACTACATTACACTACCTCTGACCGTATTTGACTCTTTCGGCCAAAGATGTTAAACATTGACAAAGAATATTTTTTTTATACAAAACGGTTTATGATATGAAAGCAGTATGAAGATGGTGTGCTTCAAAAGTACAAAACCTAAATTTTTTATTGAAATATATTACTCCATATCGGTTAACACTTAACACTATGTAGGACTTCATCAGGTGTTAGATAATTCCTACGGAGTAATATTTATGTGAGAAGGTAGCTAGTTTCACCTTGGTAAACAAACATACCTCATGAGCCATAAATCTGCGCACATTATCTGCATATAGTTTAGGATCTTCCTTTTCTTGTTGTGAGGGATAGTATATCGGTAACCAGGTCACTTCCATACAATTTACAAACTGACAGAGAAGGAGAATCAAATGCCTAGCCTGGAAGTAAGATGACATCCCAAACTGTCATGTTAATTGATCAGTTGTAGAAGACAAAAAGGATCAACAATATTTACAGAAATACCCCTGATATGGATTCCCAGGCAGGGCTAAGTCTCCGGTATGGGTATCGTATGATGACAGGAAGGACTGGAGCTTTTGACACAAATGCACCAGTTTTGAAGGGAAGCAGAAAGTCTCCATTTGTTGTTGTACCTTCTGTGTTGTTTTTAAAAGTTTTTTAATAAAAACTCAGCAGACTGCAAATTAAATGAAAAGGACTGCAATTCTTTATGAATGTAGATAGGGGTGGACTCAGTCCAGTCTCGGACTGAGTGGTCCCTGTCATTGGTTTGAAAAGCTTAGATCTGACAGGGTTATATCCGGGTCTGGGCTGGTTCCAGGTACCCGGGCGGTCCGGTCCCGTTCTATTTTTTCTAAGGCTATAAAAACAAATTTGCCAGTCCGGGACCCCGGGTACCCTCTTGGGTGGACACTGGACAGGCCGAGCTCAGGCCTGAAACCGGAAATTCTGGATCCAGTCTGATTGCTAACAGTGGCAACTTGGTTCTGGACCGGGTCTGACCGCCGGACCGGGTCCACCACTAAATGTAGATACATATGGCTGGAATAATTAAAAAAAAATAGGAGTTTGTTTGACCTGGAAAAAGTATAACCATGGGGGATAGCTTGTTTTGATAAGCTTCTTGTATTCTTTGGTTTACTGCACCTGCAACCAAAAGAATAGCAAATAGTTTTAGGTAATACTGAGTAATACTCCGTACTTAGAGGGTGTTTGGTAAATGACTAATTCTCTAATAAACAGATTTAGCAGTTTTTTTCATTGACTTTGGTTGTTTGACATAATCATAAATAATGGTGGACTCGGGCCGGGTGGCCCGACCCGGAACCGGCCCGGTACTGTTCTGGCCCGGTGGCCCGGTCAGTGACTGGTCTGGGTAGGCCCGACCCGCTGGGGGTCCGGTCCGGGCTCGGGCCCCCCAAATCACGAACCGGCCCGGCCTGTTCGGGCCCGGTTCCGGGCCTTTTTAATTTTTTTTTCAATTTTTTTTTTTTTACTTTTTGGGTTGGGTTGGGTATTTTGGGCCATTTGGAGTGGTTTGGGGGTGAGGGGGAGGGTTGGGGGTTAACTAGGAAAAGAGAAAAAAAAATAACTAAGGCCCGAGGATCGGCCCGGTCCGACCCGGAACCGGGGTTCACCTGGGGCGGTTCCGGGCCCCCCATTCCTGAACCGGAGGCCCGGCCGAGCCTAGGCCCGGCCCGGTCCCGAACTGGCCTGAGTCCACGACTAATCATAAATCATACACCTTTTTCATTGCAGTTTTGTGAGTGTTTCAAAAGCCTAATTTACCATCAAACTTTACCTCTATCGTTAATATATAACAATTATTCAAAAATAAAAGTAATGGTTTAATGTAATAAAAATAATAATAACAATACAATATCAATAACAAGAAATTCATGATGGATACTGCCCCTATTTGGAATTCATAATATAATTTAAAAACCAGTAAAAAAATCTAAAATAGTACTATGTATTTTTGTTATGTAATATTGTAATGATACTAAAAATAAACCAAAATATATGTGTGCATTAAAATAATAATAATAATTGCAATAATTTTTAAAAATAATAGTAAATGTAATTTCATTTTTTCCAGAAGCTATCAAAGAGATCTTTAAAGTAAAGTCAAATACACAAAGTTTAAATATTTATGTCTGTATTGGTTATTTTACATCTTAGCAACTAATCACATACAATTACATTATCAAACATCTTACTTTAATTCGTTAATGATGATAGTTAGTTAATACATCTTAGCTACCGTTGTTTGCTGGAGTATGAAGGCTGTTTAGCTGTTCCAAATTTAGGAGGTCTTTGTGGATTAACAATAATGCTAATTAAAATAACTAGACTTTGTGGATTAACAATAATGCATAATTTCAATTTTAAATTATTTTTTAATTACTTTTTAATATCAAAATTATTTGTTCATATATAAAATATCATATTGGAATTTTTAAACAAATACAATAAAAGAGCTTCTGTACATTCTCTATACCCTAATTTCTAAATTTAAGTCCTTTCAGAGGCCCAATATTGTTGAACACCCTCCTAAGTCCTAATAGATGACTCAATTAGCCATAGATGACGTCAAATTAAAGGGATTGTGGATCTATAATTAATGGATCCGGAGCCTCTATCTTGCTTTAGAATAAGCACACAGTGCCTAATCTTTGGAAGCCGCCCAATAAATATTTCAAAATGATCGAAGGTCCACATCTCAAGACCTTATTTTATTTCATTTGATCTCAATCCATAATTAACATGTTACCTGAGACACCTTTGAGGTCCGGCGACTTGGATTCTCGCTCCACGTAGATACATCCAAGGCATTTGCTGTGCAAGGGAAAAATGCTTTTAAAGCTAATATACCAAACCAAATCATATAGCTAATGCCCAATGATTGAAGCAACGCTAAGAACCTGATAAGGCCGACAAGAGGAAGGTTAGCCACCGATTTCTTCATGTTTTATTCATCAGGTTGAAAAATAAAAGAAATTAGTATAGCAAAGAAGTCAAATTGTGAATACATATGGATTTTGAATCAAATCAAAAGTTTTATACTAACAAGAAAATAAGAGTGAATAAAGTGCATGAGATTTTAAGTCTACTAACTTTCTAATGACGAAGTGTAGATAAAATCAAGAGAGAAAATTCTAATTAAACTACGTATACTAACTTATTGCTTTCATGCTCTATCTTTTGGTTTATTATTTGAGGATCTGGAGCCTCTGCCTTGCTTTAGAGCAAGGTAGAGTGCCTTGCTTCCAGACAGCCGTCCGATAGCAAATTCAACGGCCTGTAGATCTTGGGGTCCACACTTTCGCTGATCTCAAGACTCTCCTCGCCGCTGCCCGACTGTATGATGTGCAAGGCACCCTCGTGGTTGGCAGAGGAACCCAATCCGGCCCATTATTTGACACCTTTATTTTATGTGATGAACCCATATTACACTTGCTTTCTTTAAAGGATCGAAACTCATAATAGCACAATAATAATAAAAACAGAAAATTACTACTCACTCAGTCCCGCTAAAATTGTCACATATTATCTTTTCGAGAAATCCCACTAAGATTTTCTCATACCAAATTTGGTAAAATTTGTGTGACTCTAAATCATTTTTACTTTATTTTTAATTTATCAATTTAATATCAATCACACAAATCCACTTTTTTAAATAATCGTGTCACCTTCTCTTGTCCAATCTTAGTGGGACGGAGGTAGTATTACTCATTGAGATTATGTCAGAATTACTAGTTCAATGTTGCATCTTTACACACCCATTATTTATCTCCTGCGTTTTGATTATTAGCACTGCAGTTTGCTCCTCACTTTAATTGTATCTCATTAAGTCACGGCGGATCTAGAATTGGCATTCAGGTGGGGCCAAAATTATTTAAACACATATATTGCAAAAATTGTCAAAATGTAGTAATTCAGATGGGGCCAAAATTATTTAACCACATATATTGCAAAAATTGTCAAAATGTAGTACTCCCTAAATTAATATGTATTTAACGAAATTTATTTTCATGTGCAAAATAACACATGTGACAACATAAATGTCGAAGAGAAAAACAAAAACGAGAATAAATTAAATTAAGAGTTTTTGTTAAAATCAAGTAAATTAAATTAATTTTCACCTATCAAGTTGAATTGAATTGGTTAATTTTCTAGGCTAATATTTGAAATTAAAGCCAAAAGCATGCAGAATATTTAGTATCAAGCCCATTCAATGATTTCAAGTTTGTAGTTATAAATCATTAAATCCTGGAGTTCCAGTTTGAATAGATACGGAGTATGTCTGAACTTTGAAGGAAGAATCCTTTTTTTCTTTAGGTGTGGGAAAAAGAGGTTTAATGGGGGAAAACTGAAATTTTAAAACCCAATGCAAAATTAAAAGAACCCTGCCCAGGATTCGGACTCGAGGTGCT